TGATCCACCCGCCTCGGCCTCCCAAAGTGCTGGGATTACAGGCGTGAGTCACTGTGCCCAGCCCGTGATTTCTAATTTAAATTGTTTTTTTTAAATTAGCCTAGTGGGATGGCTACAGCTGGAGCACACCTGTAGCCTCAGCTATTTGGGAGGCTGAGGTGGGAGGATTGCTAGAGCCTGTGAGATTGAGGTGGAGCCTGCCCTGAGCTGTGATTGCACCACTGCACTGCAACCTGGGTGACAGAGTGAGACCCTGTCTTAAAAAATAAATAAATACGGAATTAGAGCAGATTAATTCAAGGTCCCTGTGGCAGTATACCCAATATGCATGCTGATGCCTGTGCAGAATTTAATATAGATGTGGGGCTGTGATGGTGTCTGCTTCTGCTTTTCTCAGGTAATGTGAGAACAACCTAAATTACTGATTGTATAACCTTTTTCATTATGTGAATGATTGATATCGCTAATTTTACTAATTGTTCAAAATCTATATGTATTCTCCTGGAAGTTTGGATTTGGAAATTGTAGCCAGTTTTGAAATATTAGCAGTATTTATGGTCCTTTAACGTCACATTCCGAGTTCGTCATTTTGAGAATGTATTTTCTGCTGTAATTTCTTTTGCAAACCATAGCACACTTATCATTGTTCATGCCTTCTTCAGCCAAAATACTCTCCTTCAGAAAAGCAAACCTCTGCTGTTTGTTAAGTGGGGTGTGCTGTTGAGAGAACAGCATGAAATGGTAACATTTTGCATCCTCACCCAAGCACATTTTATCTATTCACACTATAGACCATTAAAGAGAAGGAAAGCAAAATGGAACATTTTAGAGATAATTTATTTCTCTAAAAGACTGGGAAGATAAAGTCTTCCCAGTTGTTTATTCTGTGCTTCATGAGACTGGTAAAAAACTACCTTTTGGAATAATTTTCTCCATGTTAGAAAAATGTTTAATGTTTATAGTCAATCATTGCCATTCCAGAACTGAAAGAAAAATGCATAGGTATTGTGTTTTCTTCAACATAAAATTGTGTTAGAGAGAAACAAACATTCATATGAAAAAATGGTCGTATAAAAGTAACAGGAAACCAGCTAAAATTTCTAAAACTAAATTATATAGAAACTTTTGTTTACATTTGAGAAACCCTTCTAAAATTTTTATGTTTTTTAATGCCCTTATCTCTTGAACTTTGACATTAGGAGAAAATATAGTACTAAAAGATTGACATGCATCAATAATTAAACTTTCACGTCAAGTGAATCATTAGGAAGTGTTTAAAGGGAATACAGTTGTGTGAATTTCTACTGGGGTGGTGAAGTCATGATGGGCATCTTCAGGCAGGAGAACCTAGAGGAGCAGCTACCTGGTGCATCATGGAGGCAGTAGGGCGTGGAGGAGCAGATACCTGATGAATGATAGAGGCAGGAAGCTTAGAGTAACAGCAGGCAGGAGGGCGTGGAGGAGCAAGTACCTGACGCTTCATAAAAGAAGGAGACTCAAATTAAGTACAGGCAGGTGACTCGTTTCTTTAGCATCGTGCTAGTAGGCACTGGAGGTGAAAGACATCTTGATTCCTGTGGATATTAGAAAAAGAATTTCATGAGTGTTCTTTTATTTATTGGACAATGTTCATTGCCTATTCTGTGCTAGGTGCTAGGAAGGTAAAACCCATAAAACATGGGATTAGAAACATGTCAGTTGCTCTGATACAATAAACTTCTGAATTTATGGTAGACAGAAATTGTATTGCTTCATGCTTTAAAATGATAAATATAGAATTCAGTATTTGACTTCTTAATGCCAACTGTATGTTCAGCTGGCTCTGCCAACGCTGGAACCTGTAGACCCCCAGCAGGTAAAGGAGGTAAAGGATATACTCTGCCAACTGTATGTGGGAAGTAGGAATGAGGATATGTATCTTTTTTTGTTTCTTCCACAGTGTGAAGCTGAGTTAGACTGTAACACCATTTTTTGAATGAGTCAGAAATTACCCATTTCGGTGCAATCCTAAATTCAGTTACAAAGTGGTCTAATCCACAGAGGCTACTTGCTTTTTCTTTAAAGTTGATATTTTTGTTGTTCTATCAAATCATAAAAGTCATAGGGGCAACTCAGTTTTTCTGGATTGTTTATCTCAGCATTGGATAAATTATATGCCTGTACTTTGAGCAGCTACTTTAGTTATAAACAAAGTAAACAAAAGGCAGTTTCTATCTGGCATTTTCTGTGGGAAAAAACAAGAACAGTGTTGGAAAATTAAGTACTTGAATGTTCTTCTGTGTTTTAGAGACTAACGGTGGTGTGTTTGCTACTGTGCAGAAACTTAATTTGATTCCAGTATATTTTGACATTTGTAAACATATTACCATTAGTATGAAGCTATATAAAAATAAAGTAAAGGTATAAACCACTTTTACAGCCCTCCTCCCTTCCTGATACAGATACTAGTATTACTCTTTTGACTCTTCCTTTTAAGTTCTTTTCCCCTGTAAACATGCAGACTTATATTGGGATAATATAATTCTCAGGTTTTCCACTTAAAAATATATATCCTTACTATTTTGCATATCAATACAGGTTAATTATCAGATTTTTGTAAGTGTAACTGCTAAGTTCAGCAAAGCGTGCAACGTGTTGTACTTGATAAACTGGAATTGAAGGAAGGACTTCCTAAGGGGCTGTGGGGTTGAAGGAAGAACTTCCTAAGGGACCGTAGAATTGAAGGTGTTTGTGTATCTGCAGGAATAGTAGTTGGTCCATGCTGGAGTCAGCACATGCTGCAGACAGATTGTTTCCATCCCAGCTGTGACTGCAGGGCACTTGCTCCTTAAAACCCTTGACGTCCCTGAGAAGACCTGTTTGTGTCTTTTGTTGTGGCTGGCATTGCACTTGTGCCTACTGAGATCATATTGTAGATGATGTAACCAAGGTACTGTTTATTTAGATGCCAGTGTCTATTTTTGAAATGATTTTTTTTTTCAAAGAAACAGCACTCCAGCTGTGTTGTAAACAATTCCCAGCATCATAGCCTTCACTCCCCCAAAGGCTCAGATGCTAAGGTCGGTCTTCAGGTCAGGTGGTTGCTTCTTGTGAAGGGATGTGGTGGAAGGGTCACGATCCCCAGGGCCCAGAGAGTCTGACTCTGAGCTGCACCTGCATTGCAGGACGCTTCCCAACTCCTGGGCTTGCTATTTCGGCCATACAAGGCAACTGGAGGCCAAACCCCTTCCTCAGATTGAATGTAATTGAAAATACCTTAGTTTCTCAATAATTGACATACTAGGGGAAATATTTTGGAAACTGTTAGGATTGGTTTAGATTCTGTGCTTCACAAATAAGTATATGAGAGAATCAAATATCTAGCAAATATCTTCCAAGTAATGAGCAAAATGACCAACAAATATCTCCCAAGTAATGAACAAAATGGCCAAAATTACATCATTTAAAAGTGGCTTGATAAGTAAATAGAAGGGAAACACCAGTAGCATAAACGTATTTTGTACATGCAGATTATTTTGGAAAATATGTTTTCAATTTCTTTCGTTTCCAAATTTGATTTCTTTTTTTTTTCTTAAGCTATATCCTGATAGCAAATTACCGTTTCATAATAAACTACAGTTCTGTGGAGGGGGCTTTATTTGGCGGGAGACAGACGCCCGGCAGTCAGGACAGTGGGTAGCTTTTACCCTATCCAGATGGCGAGGCCATTACCTCCCACACGGGACGTACTCCCTGTGTTACTTCTAGAGGCCGGGCTGTGGCGCTTGCAGTCCTGTGTTCTAGTAAGGCTTCCGTAACCAAAATGTAGGCTGTGACTTTACATCAAGATGAAAAATTCCCAGATTTTAACTTGTAATTTTCTTCTCTGAATATGAACATTGAAAGTGTAAATGTAAAACTAGACTGTGTGTATTGCTGTTGTGATACTGGTGTGTGGCCATATTTGTTTGCTATCTGTTTAGGTAGTTAGCATCATATAACTTACTTGAATTTTGTTTAAGAATATTTAGTGTAATAAGAGCATACCTTTTTTTTTTTTGAGACAGAATCTCGCTCTGTCACCCAGGCTAGAGTGCAGGGCACGATTTTGGCTCACTGCAAGCTCCGCCTCCCGGGTTCGTGCCATTCTCCTGCCTCAGCCTCGCGAGTAGCTGGGACTACAGGTGCCCGCCACCATGCCTGGCTAATTTTTTGTATTTTTAGTAAAGATGAGGCTTCACTGTGTTAGCCAGGATGGTCTCAATCTCCTGACCTCGTTATCCACCCGCCTCGGCCTCCCAAAGTGCTAGGATTGCAGGCGTGAGCCACTGCGCCTGGCCAATAATAGCATACTTTTAAAGAGGAATTTAAGAGAAATACATTTTTAAAATATATGTTTATTTTATAACAATATTCACGAAGCATTTTTCTCTCTCGTGAATACATGTACACTTAAAAAGCATTGCCCTTGTCCTTCACGAGAGATAGGAAGAGGACATTATGCTATGCATGCAAAAGAAATGTTCAAGAGTTGACTTGTGGCTGTTTCTGTGCTAATATTTTCTACCTTTCCAGGAGTGTTGTTAAATGACATGTTAAAGATGTAGTTGAATAAGCTAGGCATGCTGGATGCAACTGTAAACCCAGCTACTTGGGAGTCTGAGATGGGCGGATTGCTTGTGCCCAGGAGTTTGAGACCAGCCTGGGCGACATAATAACACCTCATAAATAAATAAATAAATATTAGAAGATGTAGTACTTTCATGAAAATTTAGAATTATTTTGTTTGTGTATTAATGTTAAGCACTGAAAGCAATTAATTGATTACAGGACTTCTTTGAACTTGTACTTTCAATTTTTTATAGTCCCTTTTTTCTAACTTCTATTTTGCAGGGCCTTTGCACTGCTGTTCACTTGGATTGAGCTTGCGGACCTGTTTCTAACACTGAGGGTATCTAAGGTATGAATAATGAACAGTCACTTATTTGACAGTTGTGTTTTCTTTTTGTCTCCCTGCACAGGAAGACAGTGACCCGCCCGTTCATGAAAGTCTCAGCATAGAAAATACATTGTGGGCAAGCACCATTGTTGCATCGGGTAAGGAAAGCATTCTCCTCTGAGTGTGGTTGCTCCCGGATAGATGATGCTTTGTTTTGTCCAGGGACTCCAAACAAGTGTTTCTCACAGTGCCCTGAAATCTTTAGGGACCTTGCTAAATGCAGACTCCAGCTCAGTGGGTCTGAGACAGTCCTGGGAGCTTGTGGTGAGGCTTGTGCTGCTCCTCAGACACTGCACGTGGTTCACAAGGCCCGAGACAGGGAGAGGTGATGCAACCTTTGTGCAAGAGTATAGGGATATTCTGTTCGTCTTTGACCTGTTTATTGACAAACTTGTCAGTGTTCCTTAATGAGAGACGCTACAGAAGCAGGAATGGGTTGATGTTGATGCTGGTGCCAGTAATGGGGCTTAGCAGCAAGGCGCCCTGGAAGAGAGTGCCCGAAAGGTGATGGCAGCCCGGAATGTGAGGCTAGATTGTCGGAGCTATGTCTTCTCAGCGCTGCCCAATGCTGGTAGCCCTTCTCGCCTGGATGCCACTCACTCCCCGATGCATGTGCATGGAGCACCTGTTCTACACCAGGCATGGTGATGTGGTCTGGGGCAAGGCAGTTACAGATCCTGTCCTCAGGAAGCTTATGGCTTTGTGGACAGAGATTAAGAAGGTGATCTAGATAACGTTACTGTGCTAAGTATCACAAACAAGTACAGAATGCCATGGAAATTTTGTAATTAAAGAAGCTTATAGGCCAGACACGGTGGCTCAAGCCTGTAATCCTAGCACTTTGGGAGGCTGAGGTGGGCAGATCACAAGGTCAGGAGATCAAGACCATCTTTGGGAGGCCGAGGCAGGCAGATCAAGAGATCAACTATCCTGGCTAACATGGTGAAACCCCGTCTTTACTAAAAATACAAAATATTAGCCAGGCGTGGTGGCAGCCATGTGTAGTCCCAGCTACTCAGGAGACTGAAGCAGGAGAATGGCGTGAACCCGGGAGGCAGAGCTTGCAGTGAGCTGAGATGGCGCCACTGCACTCCAGCCTGGGTGACAGAGCGAGACTCTGTCTCACTAAAGAAAAGAAGCTTATATAGACCAGGTCTAAGGGCAGCTTTTCTGAAGAAGAAACATCTAAATTAGATTTAAAGAATATGCAGATGTGGCAGGATGAGGCGGGCGGCAGGAACAGTGTGAGGACCATTCCTGCTAGCAGCCTGCTACCAAGAGACAGTACCTTGAAGAAAAGGATCCAAGGGCCAGTGTGCCAGGCCCATGGAGAAGGCAGGTGTCACACAACGGGGCAGCTTTGTGTGCTTGTGTTTAACTGTTGGCCTGCACTATGCAAAACTATACAACGAACTCCAGGAGGAGTACACATGTTAGCTTTTTGGAGGATAGAATTTGAAAGAGGATTAATCTTGTCCTAGTGTTCTGTGTCTTTAAAAAATGCTTGATGGGTATATGACAGTTTTAATAGGTGACAATTCTATGGGTGTTTGCTGTTATTTATATATAAATTACATCTGTGTATGATATAAATGTTACATACGTGTGTGTGTATATATATATAAAACATATATATATAAATTTTTCAACATACAAAGAGAATAAGGACAGTTTTCCATGAAGAGACTTCAGAGGTGAGCAGGCCAGTTTCTGGGCTCTATAGGCCTTGAGAAGGACTTCATGCCAGGAGGACTCTTCCAGGGTGGACACGTGGACCCTGGGCTCTGTAGGGGTCTTCACGCCATGGGCAGGCACATTCAGCCGGGGAAACCTGCCCTCCACCTTTCTTCATGCTGCTGCCTTGGCATTGCTGAGAGGCATGAGTGTTGCCAGCCTCTCCGCCAGGTGGTGAGTATGGTCAGTGCTGGTCTGGCCTCACGCTGAATGACTACACTCAGGAGGTGTGTTCCCTCTGCCAGTTACCATAGAGCCAGGCCACACCGAGACCAGAATGGAGTCCAGCTGTGCCTTCCCCGGAAGCCAGTGTCCTTGAGTGCTTGGCTTTCAGTAGTTACACAAAAGCATTTATGATACAGGACTCAGAAGCTGACACATGGGGAGAAAGCTTACATTTTCCATACGTAGTTATTGCAGCCTATTTCTTCCATCTCACTGATATTTATTATTCTTAATTAAGGATCATTTGTGAAGATAGTAATGCTTCTCTTTTTAAAATAAATTTCATCTTTTTTTCCTGGGTGCTGTGTAAACGTGTATTAAATGTTACTGATCCCTAGTACTGTTGATTAGTGGCCCTTCTCCTGAGGGAGACTGAAGTTGCTCGAGCTAAAGGCTTTTGAGACATCCGATACAGTTCCCTGAACCAAGTTTTCTCTCCTGACCTCGGTTCTCTTGATGACCTTGGCAAGTGGACCCAACCAATTGGACGCGAATTAGGCATTGTGACATGCCGGCCCCATCCTGCCCGTTCTGTTCTCTTTGCCATCTAACATGCAGTGTTGTGTCTTCCTAGTGGGCATGAAGATGGCTTTAAAACCATCCACTCGGCTGGGCGCGGTGGCTCACACCTGTAATCCCAGCACTTTGGGAGGCTGAGGTGGGCGGATCATGAGGTCAGGAGATCGAGACCATCCTGGCTAACACGGTGAAACCCCGTCTCTACTAAAAAATACAAAAAATCAGCCGGGCGCAGTGGCGGGCACCTGTAGTCCCAGCTACTCGGGAGGCTGAGGCAGGAGAATGGCGTGAACCCGGGAGGCGGAGCTTGCAGTGAGCTGAGATCCAACCACTGCACTCCAGCCTGGGAGACAGAGCGAGACTCCGTCTCAAAAAAAAAAAAAAAAAAAAAAACCAACAAAAACCTTCCACTCGAGAAGCTTAATTAAGGTGCCTTTAATGTTAGTTTGTATTCAAACATCTTTAAATGTAAGCTTTTTCTTTAATTACAACTCTTTTAGTACATACATGTCTTTATTTAAAAGCCTTATTAATGTGAACAGTTACCACATTCTGTATATTTACCACACTGCTATGTCCTAAGGAATGTTTGAAAGACTTTAAGATTTCCAGAGTGACCTAAGCACTCTTGCATTCCTTGTAATTGATTACAAGTTGATAATTCCTTTTACTCTTATACTGTAAAAGTCGTATCTCAGTTGAATTCAAGTTGACTCTGGAGGGAAGTGAACTTGGCCCTTCCTCCCCGTCCTAGAGTTCTCAGTGCATGGGAACCAGGACTCAGGTTAGACACAGACAGGCGACCCAAGGCAGGACACAGGGAGCCTGCTGTGCTGCCTGAGGTTTCACTTCCCATGTGGATTTAGAACACTTGTTCTGTAAAATGCAGAATGGAGTCCTGGAGAACTGTTGTGTTTACTGTCATGATGAGCATCGAAAGGAGTGTTCCCGATACTCAGCTGTCACAAAACTGGAAGGAAAGCTCGGCTCCCTAAGGCAAGGTTGACAAAAGTGTGACAGGGCTGTCAGAGGGCAATCCCTGGCCATGTGGACCCACACCTGGGTGCGGGTCTCCTTGTCACTCAGTGGGCCGGCTGTGTGATGTCTAGACCTGGGTGCGGGTCTCCTTGTCACTCAGTGGGCCAGCTCGCGTGATGTCTGAACCTGGGTGCGGGTCTCCTTGTCCTCAGTGGAGCAGCTCAAATGATGTCTAGACCTGGGTGCGGGTCTCCTTGTCACTCAGTGGGCCAGCTGCGGCGATGTGGAACCTGGGTGCGGGTCTCCTTGTCACTCAGTGGGCCAGCTGCGTGATGTCTAGACCTGGGTGCGGGTCTCCTTGTCACTCAGTGGGCCAGCTGCGTGATGTTGGGCCAGCTGCGTGATGTCTAGACCTGGGTGCGGGTCTCCTGTGTCTCTGTGTCCTGGCTGTGTGGACGCTAGACCTTGGTTGGGGGTCTCCTTTGTACTCTGTGCATCAGTTTTGGTCTAGGTCGTTTACATTCTGGGGCTCAGTTCATGGTCTTCTTCAGTTTTCTTGCACTTGGTGCGTGACTGGAGTTGTATGTGTAGTGCTCAGTGTCTGCCTTGCTATCATCGGGTCCAGCCCGGGAGCACCTGCCCCAGTGAGCAGTGCACACTGGGGTTCTATGGAAATTGGCTCCTGGAGGGCATCTGCGAGTTGGAGTGTGTTCCAGAGGCTGGTGTATGTGGTCCTGCCTGCTTTTGCTAATGGCATCTAGCAGGTTTTGGGTGTATAATTGAGGGTCAACAAATACGTTGATTTGTTAATACCTCTGTCTCTCATTAGACACACATGAAATACGTGTTGACTTTTAGTAAGCATTTCACATCGTTTTGATGTTATAGCTTAAGGCCATTAGTTGTTTTGTTAAAGTGGTCTAGGTTTTATATTTTGTGTTTTTATGTAATTTTCTGTGAATCATCTTAATTTGAATTTGTGAGGATTGGTTGATTATCTGCAAATTAAACATAATATATCAGTGGTTAAAAATAGCAACTAAAAGTGTTGCAATAGGCCTGTCATTTGAAATATTGAGTGGACTACTTGTTTTGAAGTGCTGGATTATGTTTTGTGATATAAACTAGAAACGTTTAAATAAAGGAGAGTATCTTTTTCTACAGAATTTGACCTTGTTAGCATTCTTTGTCTTGCTTTGCATCATGGAAGTTATTTGCTTAAAATACAACTGTAGTCAATTAGAAGGTGGTATAATTTTGCATGAAATTTTCTATATGGCATGTAGCAAAGAAGGCACATAATAACTAAGAGAGTAATTATCCTACTCACATGAAATTGTGATTGAACAGAAGTTGGACATAATAGAGTTGGACTGTAGAATGACTTACAGACTGTCCACATAGTAGCCTCTTGGAAGTAGGCTAAGTCTCAAGGGCCCTAGTCACGGGGTCTGTGGAGTGTAGGAGTAAATGTGGTCATATTTTATGCCTCCCTTTTTGGACCCAAAGCATCTGAATATTTTATATTAATTTTTACCTGTAGTCAGTCTGAAGTGTCCAGTTATGGATCAGGCAAATGTAATCCACTGGCTTTGAAGATTAAGTGCTCCTAAATCTTTTTAAATGTTTTCTTGGGATAAATGGAGTTAAATTTTTGATTTAATGATGAATACTGGACCACCACCATTTTTAGGGTCCTGTTAAGAACTCGTTTGTTGTTGTGGTTGTGGTTTTAATCTACCAACATGATCCTGAACTCAGGTCTTTATGATGTAGAAGTTTCTCCAGTTGGAGCCCGTTGTGAGGGAGATGGATCTTGATTTTACACTGAAAATATGGGTTAAAGTTTTGGAATTCTCCTGTTTAAGTATTTCATTTACTGAGAAATCTTTGTGACATTTTATATTTGTCATAGTCTCCCGTTCTCTTCTGAGACACAAAATGAGTTTGTCATATTTTGTTGTCCTCTCATGTCTCATTTTCACAATCCACAGTTAGCCCCTTTCCTCTATTTCTTTTTGCCGTGTATGCAGGTTTTACTCAATCTTTTAGCCTATTCTACTTCATAAGTACATACCCTTTGTCAAAGAGAATGGAAAATGTTCCAGATATTTCTGCACTGATAACTATATGTTAGATATTAAAAAGCATGGCAGTCAGAAAAATTCATTTAATTCTAGTAAGTAGTCATTTTTCATGAGAATCAAGTGAGAGAATACTTACGAGAGCCTTTAGCAAACTTTAACAGATTATACAAGTACTGTACCAGGACCTCTGTTAAAAATGTATAACGTATGCCTTGTCCGTTATCACACTGAATTTCGGCGCGGTACATTGTAAGGCCCCTCTAGAGTTTGCTTGGCTCATCAACCTGCTTTCAGGTTAAGGGTTTCTAGCTTGATTAATTCTTGCAAAGACTTCTCTGAGAATTGCTCATTCTGTTAATGTTAAAAAATAAGTTAATTTTGCAGTTTGCCTTGTTACATCATTGTGATAATTTAACATTAGTGGGATGTTTATAGTTTGATTTAGTTAAACTAGATTGGCAAAACAGAAAATACTGATCCGGTAATATTTAATATTTAGCTTCACTGATGTAAAGTAATTCTATGATCTCTTTTTGAAAGCTTTTTCTAGTATTGTGTTATTATGTATTTAATATTTCCCTGCAGAGTAAGTACAGTCATCTAATCTCAGAAGTTTGTGTGGATGATAATAATAAAGATGGCATCTGTGCATCGGGGAACATGTATTCCAGGTGTGAGCTGGCCTTGCCTTTCATGAACTTTACAAACTGAAGCCTCACACTTTCTCAGTGGCACTCAATTAAAAAAGAAATATAGATAATCCCTGCACATATCCCTGCTGGGGAATACTTCATATCTTCCACGTTCCTAGATTTTCTAGAGAGGAAGGTGTAAGCTATGTAATATGTACAATATGTTAAATATCAAGGTTCACAAAAAGCCGAGAGTTCGTATCAATCATCTTTACTTCAAAGAGCCTGTTGTATGACACTCTACATTTTACATGTTAAATTAATGTGACATCAAAGAGTTTTTGTGTAATTATTATAGTTAATTCTGTAATGGTAATTGCACATTATGTGTATGTATTTTCTTACCTTAATTGTGTTTCTCACCTTCAAAATTTACAAAAAATTAAGGATGAAAATTAGGAACATAAATAATATATAGCTGTAGTTGCAGAAAGAGACTTCCATGATTTTTAATACTGACATTCTAGAGCTAAGTGCCCTTTAGCCTTTGCAATCTATCGGTCATACCAAGGGTTTTTTAAAATTCTTTTCTCTTGAATTTAAAAATAATTGTTATCTTTTTGACATGTATAAAAGAGAGTAATAGCTTCTATAAATGCAAAGTCAAATACTGTTTTTTATAATATTTCTATTTTAATTGTATACGTTTTGAAATATTAGCAAAGACTGTCACTGATATTTAGTAATACTTTGATCTTTACGTGGAAATACATTAAAAGAAACTGGTTCAACTGGCACCATCTTTATTTGAAGGTCAAAGAACAAGTTTGATCAGTTAAGAATATAGCCTCTATTGACCTTCAGTGATGGAACCACCGTTTCAGTAGACAGCAGTGAAAGGCCATTGGCATAGTCTCTATTGTCGGTGAAAAGAATGTCAGTGCATTTCCCAATGTTCTATGTAGGTACATTTGTATTGCTTAACAAATCGTTTGACATTTTCAAAGGCCATTTTTAAAGCTGAGATTAGATTTTCTTGAATTAGCCAAATTAAACACACTGTTGGATAAATTTATATAAAATCAAATAGTGTGATAATGCTTTCCATCAAAACAATGAATTAGAAAGTGTTGTCTTTTACTCATCTGTAAAGTATTTCTATAAGGACCACTTTCATGTTTTTGCAGGTACTGTAATAGGTGTTGTCATTTATACTGGAAAAGAGACTCGAAGTGTAATGAACACATCCAATCCAAAAAATAAGGTAGGCTAGATTGAGGAGCAACTGCTTTAACGAACTTGTTTTTCCTTTCAGCAAGAAAGTCTGCATAGTTCTGAAAGCGCATTCTTTTGGCTTAAAGTAGACTTTCGAAAATGTTGGTGATTTACCATATGAATTCTCTGTATTTATATAACAACATTCTCATACTGGCGAATTTCCAAAAGTATTGTTGCTTGGCTAATCAGTTTTATATGTGTCTTAAATTTTCATGGTTAGATATATAATTTGCCCGTAATTTGACAGTTAATTGTGGCTAATTTCTTATCTTCAGTCTATTTATTTCACAGTTTGCACTCTTTTATGTTGATAGTTCATTTTAAAATAAAGGAATCTGTATTAATGTTTTTATAGTATTTAATTTGATGTTATAGTATTAAGCTAGTTTTATTTATTTGCATGTCAGAAGAAGCATATTGAAAGCCAAAGATTAGTTTTAAAGACTGCTTGATTATATCCTGAATTGATTATATTTCTGAAATTGTTATTTATGCATCCAACATGTGTGTAAAATCATTAACAAAAAGTCTGACTCCTCAGTAGTTGCTATCATCATGATACCGTATATGAGATGAATTCACAGTATGTGCTAATGTACAGTTAATGAGAAGCTCTTCCTAAGTATTGATTTTACTCATTTTTATTTAAAATGTAATTTGTGTGCATTTAGATGAAACAAAAAATCCTCACATGGATTTATGCCTCACTCTGTGGATAATTAATAGTGAAGGTTATCTTTTGCTGTCTTTTGCTGGAAGTCTTATTACAACGCAGTGGAAATCAAATAATTCTTTGAAAAGATAGGCCAAGTGCAGTGGCTCATGCCTCTAATCACAGCACTTTGGGAGGCTGGGACAGGTGAATCACTTGAGGCCAGAAGTTTGAGACCAGCTTGGCCAACATGGTGAAACCGTGTCTCTACCAGAAATACAAAAATTAGCCCAGCATGGTGACGGGCACCTCTAGTCCCCACTGCTCAGGAGGCTGAAGCAGGAGGATGGCTCAGACTCTGGAGGTGGCGGTTGCAGTGAGCCAAGATCGTACCATTGCACTTCAGCCTGGGCAACAGAGTGAGACTCTGTCTCAAAAAGTTTGGGCAAGATGTATTCCATTTTCTCAGGTGAATGTTATTTTAAAAATGGTTAACTCTTCGAAAATTAGTAACATACCACCAACCGTATAAAGCCCCAGGCCATTTGCGGCAGTAAGTAGAGTGAGGCCTTCTGTGTCGATTGTTTGCTTTTTCACTGGGGCTTGCCTTGAGAATGCCCTTAGCTGTGCACTCGGGAAATCCAGTGTGCATCTCCTGTACCTGACAGAACTCCAGATATCTGTGTGTAACATGTTTGCTAAAGTCAAAGAAAAATGCTGCGTTACTACTGAGTATAAATTCTAATTGTAGTAATGGGGAAAGTTCTCTCTTTAGACTTGCATTGCAGTTTAATTTGCATTTCAAATATATTCAAGTCAGTAGTTCTACAATAGTATTAAAATTATTTAAAAATAAATTCTTAAAGTAATCATATATAGAGTTAGAATCACATATGTATTTATACGTGTTTTCTGGTAAGTGCTATGTTATTTCTTTCATGTGAGCAAAACTAGAACATCTTTTTTTTTTTGAGATAGAGTCTCACTCTGTCGCCCAGGCTGGAGTGCAGTGGTGTGATCTTGGCTCACTGCAGGCCTCCAACTCCTGGGTTCAAGCGATTCTCCTGCCTCAGCCTTGCGAGTAGCTGGGGTTACTCACACTCCACAGTGGCTCCCCCAGCATTGTGTTCCTTGTGTTCCGGGTCCGGCGCAGGCTGGCAGCTCCTGCTTCTTGTCATGTGTTCCTTGTGTTCCGGGTCCGGCGCAGGCTGGCAGCTCCTGCTTCTTGTCATGTGTTCCCCGTGTTCCGGGTCCGGCGCAGGCTGGCAGCTCCTGCTTCTTGTCATGTGTTCCTTGTGTTCCGGGTCTGGCGCAGGCTGGCAGCTCCTGCTTCTTGTCATGTGTTCCTTGTGTTCCGGGTCCGGCGCAGGCTGGCAGCTCCTGCTGGTCATGGTCCCTCAGGGCCCATCTTGGAAACACATTTCCATGACCACTGGGATAAGAAAATACTGATGTGGCCAATTACATACTGACTGATTCTTAAGGCTTTGCCAGTGAACAATATGGGTCACATTTCATTGGCCAGAACAATTAAATGGCCATGGCCAAGTTCAAGGAGTCAGGGAATTGCACTTCTAGCTCATGTGCAGAAGGAGGGAGAATTGGAAATACTTTGTGAGCAGCAACGCCACGAACAAGATTTCCCAGGGCTTTTACTCAATGTACAAAAAAGAGGAACCTTACAGAACCCAGAAGAATACCAATATTTAAGGGATAAGCAGAGGAAGAGAAACCAGGAAAAGAATAATGAATGAGGAAAGCATTTTAGGGAGTGGCTAGTAGTCAACAGTGTGCTGGGGACAGAGAAGGTCATTTGGAGTGAAAAGTGAAAAAGAGGTTAGTAATTTTAGCAACGAGGAAATCTTGGTAAAATTAAAACTGACAGTACCTTTATTAGGGTGGAACTCAGGTGCAGTCACAGCTGGAGAACTCTTCCAAGAGTTCAGGGGAAGGAGAGAGTGCTCTGTTGAGGGAGCCAGGTCCAGGGCGAGGGAGAGGAAATTCTGAGCATATTGAGCAGGCAGCCCAAACCATGCTGGCGCCTGTGGTGATGAGAAGTGGACTGATTATACTGTAAGGGAAAAGATTGTGTTGATTTTGTTTTGTTTTTTTTCCTGGTGAGAAAAATCCTTATCACAAAACTATTAATGTTTTTAGTCAAAGAATAGAGGGTCTTATAAATAAAAATATTAATTCTATGGAAGAATAAGTTTAGTGGGCATCCAGTAGTAATTTAAACATAAGAAGATAAGATTACTGAAAAGAAAATCATATGGTATTATATGGCCACCACAGGAACTATGGCATTACTTCTTTCATTTGTAGAAAATATTTACAGTCAATCAATGTGTCACTCTTTCTGTCTCCCTCCCCTCTTCTCTTTCTTCTCCCTCTTCTTCCCTCCTTTTTTCTCTCTTTATATTTATTTCCTATCTTCATTACAGTGTGTATAGCAGGACCCTGACAATTCACAAAATTGCTTTACGTTCCTAAGGTTAAAAAATGCTTCAGTAAAGTCTGATATAAGAAAGAAGTTAATCGTAACAACACTTTAGGTAGTGAAATTGATGCAACATGGTAAGACTTTGAGACAGTTCTTGAAGGGATCAAGAAGGACAAGAGCCTAACAATTTAGGCTATACCTTGTTGGCAATGTGCAGGACCCAGCTGTTGTTGGGAATCTGGAATTTAAAATGGTGCCAGTAACCAGGGTATGGCTGTTCTGGGTCTGATGTTCAGGAGCCCCAGTGCAGAAGCAGAGATAGGCTGCTGGGCTGGTCCAGAGGTTTGCAGGTGGATGTGTCGGCAGAGAAGGCAGGGACAGCTAGTCGTGATGGTGGATGGCAGGTGAGAGGGCTCCTTATGGACAAGGAGTTTTGGAAGCAGAGTAGTTGTTGGTGGTAAGATTTGGAGTACAGTGATGAAAATGAGTTGTTGAGGTTCGGAGGCTCTTACAGACACTGGATTATCTAAAATTATAAGCTTTTGTATAATACTTTGGAGAGCTTTGTTTCCTTCTTACAGATATTTTCTGCCAGGTGCAGTGGTTCATGTCTGTAGTCCTAACATTTAGGGAGGCTGAGGCGGCCAGATTGCTTGAGCCCAGGAGTTCGAGACCAGCCTGGGCAACATGGCAAAACTTGTCTCTACCAAAAAATACAAAGATTACCTGGGTGTGGTAGCATGTGCCTGTAGTACCAGCTACTCTGGAGGCTGAGGTGGGTGGATCGCCTGAACCCAGGAGTTTGAGGCTGCACTGAGCCATGATTGCACCACTGCACTCCAGCCTGGGCAACAGAATGAGACCCTGTCTCATTAAAAAAAAAATTAATTAATTAAAAAAAAATCTAGCCACTATTGTAGATTGTATGTCAAGGCAAATTGAGCATTATTTCACATTTTCTAGGTTTATCCAGTAATTGATCTTCTAGGGAGACAAGTCTCATACTGTTACTTGTAGATCTTTTATATAAATTCAATTTAATGAATACCACATTTATTATTTAATCTTCTTTATTCCATGATAGAGCAGTAAGAAAGAAGAGAGTGCCCTTTTCTTTTCTTTTCTTTTCTTTTCTTTTCTTTTCTTTTCTTTCTTTTCTTTTCAGCGGGAGCTCTGGGATGTCATGCCCTCTTGCTGGGCCCTGCTGCCTCTGACTCACTCTCTTCGGCCTTTGGGCCTCTTGTGGTGCTTTTGCCTCAGCACCTGCAGCGTCTTCTCCTGTTGCCTTCCACTGTAAGTGTGGCCTAGACTAGGAAGTTCCTGGGATATAATTGCCTTAAAAATCATCCACATAATCCCTGCTACATAGAATGGTTAAGCAAGTAGACATTTTCCAGTGTGTTGCTGTTCCCTCACTCTAGCAGAGGGTGTAAAGCCCATAAGACTGCGTGGCTGAGACCAGGCCTTGAGTCCTTGGTACCTGTTGTTACCATGTGCAAGTCCCAGTGCATCGGCAGAGGTAGCAACACAGACAGCCCTGCCGCTCCCTGTTGGTCTTAAGCCTCTGATGGGCCCTCACCACCTCTACCACCAACTCCCCTCGAGTCATCCCAGCCCCAGCAGAGGCTTCATGTTCTTCTGCAGGACATGAAGGAGCGTTCTCAGCTCCGTCTGGAAGAGCGCCAGCCTCCTGCAGCCATCTGCTTCCACAGATTCAGCTGATAAGGACTTGCCCCATCTCAGCTGCAGATTCCTTGAGGAATAGTGTGTTATACTTTCAAAACTATCAGGCTGGGCGCAGTGGCTCGTGCCTGTAATCCCAGCACTTTGGAGCCCAAGGCAGGCAGATCACTTGAGCCCAGGAGTTCGAGGCCAGCCTGGGCAACATGGC